ACAAGATTAGGCTGCTCGAAAATTGTTCACACAGCATTTTGCCTAAGAAAAATTCACAAAATTAGCTCACCTGTTCATGCTCACACGTTGTGATGCTGTTTATAACATGGAAAACAATTTTAAATAGACTTTTACACATCGAATTTCAGAAAAAAATACAGGGGGGAACTGGAAAAAAAACGAATCTCCCTCGCAATACAGGTTGCAAACGCTGCCTGTGTACTCGGCACAATTAAAGATAACAAAATGTTTTCGAAGGGTTTTTTTATAGAGTCCTGGAACAAAAGCGCAGCTTTTTATAAGTATTTAATAGACCCGTAGCCTCATATCTGGTCATTTTTTGTCTCACTTTTAATTCCGGTTTATTCTGTGCAGGAGTTGGTTTTCTCAATATGGTTGGCTTGATTCCCAACCATCTGTTTCTCGTTTAGCCACATTATAATTCACTCTTGCATATCTAGAAAATTCCTAATTTTTGACGGGTTTTTAATGCAATAAAGGGTCTCCTGATTGTAACCTCGGTTACTATGAAACTTTTGACCTTCTGGTTCCTATATGTTCATACAGACAGAGCAAAATTAGTTAAAACTCAAAATGAAGAAACATAGACTGGTCTTAACTGGTCTTAAAATTTGAGCCCGGAAGGCTTCAAAAAAGAACAATTTAATTGCAAAATGATAAGCAATATTATGATGTAAGTCCAAGTCATGCAATTGTCGCTTACGTATTACAATTTTCAAAAAACTTTTATGCGGAAAAATTACTCTTGCTCTCAAGCAAAAAGAACCCATTCCACGGATTTTTTCCTTAGGTTGCCATAGAGGGACCCTAACTGAAAAAAAACCGAATGAAATTCCTAAACTCAAGTTTCATAATTTTAGAGCTTGAGCTGCTGTTGGTAAAGTTTGCTTTTGTGCATTGAATTTTGATTCAAACTAAAAGTGATTGTCTGCAGAAACATTTTTCCATATACTGAGGGCTAGATAAGGATAAAGATTTATGACTAAAGGGTTCCATCAAGGTAATCTGTTTTTGGTTGTATGCGGTTTTTATCGGTTTTAAAGTTTTGACCTTCCAGGCCGTTTTTTTTAGTCTTAGTGTCCTCAGTACTCTCATAGTCATAAATGACTATCACTGAGAGTTAATTTCACCAAGATGCACTTTTCTTAGAGAGTAACAAGTTGCCTAGCTACCCACCTTACGAATCCGAGCTTTTGAAATCCCCGGGTATGAACCCTTCCTACGATTACATCATAGGATCCACAGTGCTAAAAGCATTGTGGCGGTTACCGTTCATGGCAACTTCGGGATAGCCCATTTTCCACAAATAGCTTTCTCGACATCAAGGTATTCTGTAGAACACAGTCCACCGTTTCTGGTCTCCACTAACACAGAAAGTTGTACCAAAAGTCGACTCTATCCGAAGACCTGCGAGACTACTAATAGTACTTGGTCTGGTGACTTTCAAGGCCGTATCCATCCGGGGCATGCGCAACACAAACATGTCGAGTGACCCCCAAGGCTTGCGTTTGCCGGAGCAAGGCTCCCCAAGGTTCGCACTTACGTCTTTGAGCACTGGGCAATGCGGCGTGTGACGTTTGCAGAAATGGCCTCGTTTGATGAACCATCGGTGATATATTGGAAGCACGTGATCCAATACATCGCGCAGGTAATAGGAAGTACAAATACATGCCCGACAGCCCAAAAGCTCAGATCAAATCCCCAGGATACACCGGGGTAGATCCGATTACTGCGAACCCCACCGTAAAGGACTACACCACTCGAGGAGAAGACACACTAGCGTATCCCAGTCTTAATGTGTTTTTAGTTTCACCTTGAAAGGTCAGAAATTGATCCTGAGTTACCCTCATTTTAATTGTGGTTTATCTTCCTATTCTTTATCATCTAATTTCATCTTGATTGTTTTATTGTTGCTTGATGTTTGATAATCACAAAATACCCTGCATTGTCTTTATGTTGTACAACTCTGCATTTTTGGTTACCTATTCATTTTATTCATTTGTAGTTACTTTTCAGTTACTTGTTCGTTTTAATCATTCGGTTTGTGTGTTGTTCATTACAGTCTTTTTTTGTTTTTTGTTTTATGAATTCCAATTATTGAAGTTTCAGAAAAACCGCGATCATTCTTCTCAGTCTTTAATTGATCTTGACTAATAGAATCGAATGCATTTGACAGGCTTAAAGAGATACGGTTACTCATTTGTCATTTTAAATCATTTTAAGGAAAGTTCAGTGCCATAAAAAAAATTGCGTCAATTGTTGAACATGAGGTTCTGAAACCATTTTGGATGATATTGAGCAGGTTGTTAATCAATAAATAGCGACGAAATGGTTTATATCTTGTTATTGTCATACGAGTTATTAAAGCATGTCTCAGTGAACCCATAATTTGTGTTCAATCTAACAGTGTTGACTAAATCTGTATGACTAGATCATTTTCTGTTTAATATTCAGTAGTTTAGAATAGAAAAATCTTATTTCATACACACTAGCCCAAAGATGTTAGCTAGGAAGTTAATTGATAACAATGACTTTATAATCACAAAACCTAAAATAACAGACTTATCACCAACAATTTTCTATACTAGTTTTGTGCTAGTAGCCCTGCATATAACTTTATGAGGACTTAAGAGGCATGACATATTTTTAAAAATTTTACTCTGTGGAAGTTGGTTAGAATGGATCCGATTTTCAGAATTGTTTTGATCACGCTTGTTATAGTTTTGTACATTTTTTGCGGGATTAGAGTGATAGAGTTTTAACAAATGACAGATCGAAGGCAATTTTGCTGAAATAGGACGTCGTGCTCATCGTGTAGCTGTATATTGTTACAAAAGGAAAACTTCAGTTATTTTCGCTTTTGATTACTGTACTTAGTTTAGGCACCTGGTAACCGAAATTAGAGCTGTATTTACAAATTTTGTATTCAATATTTAGAACTACAGTTTTGCTAGATTCTTCAAAATTCAAAACAGGTAGTAAATCGCAGACTACTGATAGTTTGGATATATTTTTTTTAAAAAATTTATTAGTCCCTCAATTTTTGCTTAGAATTCATTCATTGTTTGAAATTTTCTCCTTAAGACCTTGGGTAATGTACCTAAAATTTTACTGCCAGTTACTCTACGTAAAATTTTACTGCGTAGACATTAGTAAGGAACGATCCGATTTGCAGAACTGCTTTGATTACGGTTATAAAAGTTTTATACACTTTTTTGGAAGGCTAGAATGTTAGAGTATTGACAAGTGTCAGATGTTAGGCAGTTTTGCAAACACAGGACGCCATGCTCATCCTGTAGCAGCTTATCATGAGAATAGGGAAAAATTCAGTTATTGTTGCTTTTAATTATTGTATTTAGTTTGGGCACCTGGTAACCATATTTAGAGCCGTATGTGCAATTTTTGCGTTCGTTATATAGAACAGAACTACCATTTTGTTAGCCTCTTCAATATTCAAATTAGTTCTTCGAAGACTACTCATAGTTCGGGTGTACAGATTTTTACAATTGTTTTCTAACAATTCCTACTTTTTGCATAGAATTCATTCACTGTTTGAATTTTCTTCTCTGAGATTGAAATAGAGCCATCTTCACTTCTTCATGATAGATTCCGACTTTTGGTATCTATGTGTCGGTTATAGTTTGAGCTGTTATACTAACACCTATAGCTAAAACTTTAGTTTCCTCGACAATTTTGAACGCTTCAAACTCACGTCTAACTGAAGCTCTGGAGTGGCTTTTAGGTTGCTTAAACATTGAGTTGATCCCTTGGTTCCAGTTGATCGGCCTCCATACTGGATATTGATATCTATTATTTTTCCTTAATGCCGCACAGATCTGCATAAACTTTACAAAGCGCCTTTTTTGAGTTTGTTGTTTAATTCGAAAATTAACATAGGGATAGACTCGATTGGATATGGTGAGACTTCTCACTTATTCACAAAAAGCATATAAACTTCAGCAAGAAGAGTACAAGAATAAGCCGTAGTTTTTTTTCTGGAATATCATAGATGTCCAGGGTAATTTAACATCAAACTGATCAGATTTGGTTTTCAATACATAGACAATTCACATATTTCGATTTTGTTTTGGTATGATTCTAATTTAATTGAATCTGGAAAATTTGGAAATAGTTTTTGCGATCGGAGGAACATTTTTTCAAGTAGAATTGATCTAGGATAATTAACTATCGGATTAAAATTTGTTAGTTTTTAAAGTAATATAACACCTTTAAAACAATATAACACTCGCCCTGCTCCGATCATTATTTGTGGTACCTCATTTTGCGTGAAAAATTTTATGAAAAACAATAGCATACCTGAAAACAAAAATTCCTCCCCATTTTCAATGGGCGGAACAAAAAAATTGCAGCCCAATAAATGAAAAGAACAAATTTCTTGATCACGCGACTGTTTAGGAGTAATTTTCGAGTGAAGGTTTTTTCAAAAATAATAATAATAATAATAATTGTTGTTCCTGCGAATCGCAGAGGAGCTATCAGTAGGCCTTAACAGTCCTGTCGAGGATAGTCCATTTGTATTATCTCCCCACATTACAGACAGTGTTATTTTGCTGAGCGAAGCTGTTTTTTTTTGCGACTCAAGGCCGTTTTTTTGCGTCTAGAATTTTTACGTGGTACCCCTATTGCAGCCAAATTTGGTCAGGTTGTGGTAGACCTGAAGCTGGAGTTCAAATGAGAGCTTGTCCTCACACACTATCATTGCCATGGCATGGGATCGAATACACGATCTGACGATTTCAAAGTGAACGCCGTACCACTGTGCTAAGTGCCTCCAATATCCATAGGATGGTTTTTTTTGCTGATAAGACTTCCAAAAACTAAAACTGAGTGTTTCAGCGATACTATGGCACTACAATTGAATATTTTTTGTCAATACCAAACTAAACGAGAAATCTTTCTTCCTATCTGAATATCTGCGGGTGAACCTTATATTAAGAATTACTGGCTCGCCAATCTTGGAATTTTTGTTTGGGAGCAAAGTTTTATATTTTCTTTGGACAAGAAATTTACATATTGAAATACTCGTATTCATTAAGCTGGTAAGTTAGTGATTAGCCCGTTTGAGCGCAATTAACCTTTAATAATTTGCTGCACGATATTCTTAAGCAACGCGTGAATAATTTTGTCGCCGAACTTTTTATCGATGGCCGAAGTGAACTTCACGTCAATCATTTTGGTGTCGATTCCCTTCTTTTTGGCGGTCTGTAAAAACTGACTCTTGACAAACATTTTGCTTTCCATCACGTCATTCGGTCTGTTGGGCTGGAATTTGGGGAAGTGTTTTTCGAGGGGGTCTTTGGCTATTTTCTCCTTAAACGAGTCTTCTTTATTCAGCAGTACAATCACTCCCTTCCTGCTGAAGTTGGAGAGAGTCTTGAGACACTCCATTACGTCACTGAAGGTCTCCAGACTGTCCTCTGAATCAGATATGAGAAAGAGTATAAACAAATTTAAATGGGTTAAGCTGCAAAGACTTCATAATTTTAGAAAGCTTTGTCATGTCAGACCTAATTTGGACTATTTAAACTCTCAATTTTTACAAAAACATTCTTTATAATCTTAGTTTTTCAGTTTTCAGATGTTTTAGTTTTTTCTATTAATTTAGTAAGCTAAAAATTCTAAATTTTGTTGTAATTTTTTGTAATCGTACTTGTGTTTGTGATAGATATATCTCCGGTTATCTATAATTTAATTTAATAGCTTAGCAATATGTTAGATTGGTTATATCTTACGCAATCTGTTCTTGCTAGTATCCTCCTCCATCGTCAGGTTGTAATCAGCCAAGGAGGCCACATACAAGAAGTAATCCACCTCGTCGAATGATCCGAACCAGCTGCGTCTGTCGTCCTTGTTGCCCCTCACATCTGTCAGAGTGAGGGCCCAGGTCTTGCTGCCGACAGGCACATTGTCATACCTCCTTCTCTCCGACATCTGGGTCTCGACCCGACATCGCAAATAGTCGTCGTCAGAAGGGATATAGTTGACCTGAATCATAGATTAATCGAAGTTGTATTAAGACATTTACGAGCTGTTCAGCTCTTCACGGAGAACCGTTGTTTTGTGCCCCTGGTTAAGATTTACATGCATTTGTTTGGCTATTTTCCTGTGCTGGTTAATGTTGTTTCACCCTCATGGTGGGCCTGGAACATCCGACCTTTCGATTAAGAGGCGGAGACGTAACCACTTCACCACCGCTCCCCACTTCACCCCCGCGCCCATGAAATCATCACTACAGTCTGGAATTTCCAAAAGCAATTACTTCATCTTATCTTGTCTAGAAAAAATTTAAATCCCATGCCACTGGTGGATCTAGGATATTTTCAAAGCGGTAGGTTTTTAAAACCTTTCGAAAATTTTGCTGACCTTTACAAATTTTGAAAACCAAAAAAATATTCATCAAAAGGAAAAAAATCAGTTTGGATGTGTATGGGAACCGAGGAGCAGAAGTACCTTGAGACATTCCTGCAGTTTCTCCAGGAAGAAATAGTCCGACTCCTGTTGACACACCGCCACACACGAACATTCCTTGATCACAGTCCACAACAGGGCCAAGTTGTCTATGATGTGGTCATCTAAGTTGTCGAAGATGTCGCGTGACTCAGTGGTGTCCTGCAAACTCATCGCCAGACTCTGGATCTCCTCCGAGGGATACGAGGTGTCGTCGGGGAGTTGTCGGGTGAATCTAGTGAAGCAAGAGCGGACGAACTCCTTAATGGCGATGATGCTAGCTGCTCTCCCATTGGCTGGAACGATTTGAAGATTAGTTTCCATTTACAGATGGTACTGAGTGATTGTAAATGTACCATTGCAAACCATTGAATTAAATTGTAATCAATGGAAACAACTGAAGTTAATGGAAATCACTAAAAGCCTGAGTTTGAATGTACTCACTGAAAACATCTGCTTGGAACATCTTGTCAAACTAGAACAGAGAGGAGTGTTTTTTTTGTTTAGGAGAAAAAACTTTGAAGAAATCAAAAGAAACAAAAAAAATAAAAGGTTGAATTACATAGGACAGAGCGTGGGTTAAAGTTACATACAGTTCAATGAAATTAGTTCGGCTACATTTTTTTCCGGATGTAATTAAGATTTTTTTGCGATATCAGACATTGTAAATAGCGTGTACGAATAGCTGAGGGGAGTCTGCATAACTACAGTGCTAATCCCACCTGTTTGAAGATGGTGGTCTTTCCACTGCCAGATGTTCCCAATAACATGAAGTTGATCGAATTCGCACACGGCTTCAGAGACACTGAAACTTGCGCATGTTAACATCATAACCATACACGTCTAAGAAACATCTAAGAAGCATCAAACCCATCTGATAACATATCTCTGAGAACATAAAAGTTTCTAGGTTACAACACTTTCCAAAAAAATGACAAAATGGCTCAAAATAACTCTACGATTGCTATGACCAAAATTCTCAACCTCGTTCGACACAGAATCTTGAGGCAAAAATGGAAAAAAAAAAGCTGAAGCAAAATGAAAAAAAAGCAAAAAACAATTTTCAAGCCATCAAAATACATAAGATCAATAAAAAAAGCTTGCTAACTTGTGTGGTGGTGTTCCTGCGACAATTACTCACGTCCTTTGGAGTTGTTGTTGTTTTGGGTGGGGGAGGTAAGAGGCATGTTCTCCCCTGGGCAGTCTGTGGCGTCTGGGTGGGGCTGGGCCGCGTGACTCTTCTTCTTCGGCCTCCCAGTCGCAGCCGGACTGATCGGCTCCGGAGATCCCACTCCACAGCAGCTAAGACCAAAATGAGAAAAATAATCCTGGATTTTTGCAATAAAATTTTGAATCGGTTTCAATCCCCGTTTATGACATTTTGATTGTAAAATTGTTCTCCTCTGAGTATATTAGTTCTTCATACACAACTTTGAAAAACCATTACATATTTCATTGACATTTTTGCTTGGGTTAAATAAGAGGACGGGCAAACGGCAACGGGCATCGATGCGTTTGTTTTTACGCTAGAAAGCGTCTCGATACACTTACGAGATAAAAAAAAGGTCGAGCAAATTTGAAAAGACTATATTGAAATTTGGATCATCAGTTTTTTCAATTAATGGATAAAAGTCACACTTTCAGACTTTTGAACTATTTCAAAATACTTACAGACAGCTTTTCAACTTATTCATTTTTGGTCAAAATAGTAAGTTATAATTCGCTATCGAACAATATAAATGTTACCAAACTACGGTTTTCATGATGTTTAACTATATTCTAACTGATGCTACCACAATTTGCGATAAATTTTGGCATCATTAGATGTTTATTTGTCAATATCAGCAGTTTGATTGTTACATATTCCCTTTGTCCGAAAGACTTGACCGTGCAATACTTGGACTTGGTCATAAATTGAGAGAAAAGTAATTTACTGTATTTTCAAGAACTGATGTTTACCATATGAGAGGTCAACGCTGAAGAAACGTCAACAAATGAAATTAAGAAAATTGGAAAGCTTAAACTCGTTTGAAACATAAATAGTTTTTAAGCACACCGGTTTTCGGGGAAATTTTGGCGACCTGGAGAATTTCTGACAACCTTTTTTACGACCTTTTTTGTCAAACTATTTTATAAGTTGACCAAATTGATTTTCTTAGATCTCACAACTTGCTATAAAGACCATATTTTGACCAAATTTGCAGCGCCGCAGGCAAACTTAGGCGTTGTCATGCCTGTTGTTGGAACTTTTGACCAAAAATCTGCGCGCGCTCAGATCCGCCCTAAAGTTATAATGTATTGGCGCTGTAGGTGTTCTCAATAAAATTTTAGGGTAGGTTAGCAAAAAATGGATTTATAAAATAGTACCAAACGAGGACCCTTTTGGTAGTGAGGGGGTCAAATTATGAAGGAATTGTTAAGTGACTAACAGACGATTGATTAGTTTAAGCAGAACCATAGATGCAAAGATATAGTAGAAGCCTTTTGTACCCGTACTTAAGCACCTGACGGGTCCATTTAGCACCTAGAAATTAATTACTGATTTTCAGAATCAATATCGCTTGTGGCGTGCGCAAAAATTGGAAAAAAAAGGGGGGTGGTTTTTTCAAAAAATCTTGAACCTTTTGCGGACCTTATTTTTTTTCCGCAGGTAAATTTTTCAAAAAACATGCCAAAAAAGGCGTTTTTAGGCACTTTTTGAAAAATTTGACCAAAAATTTTGAGGTTGGTCAGCCAAAAATGAATGTCCTAAAATTATATCAAAGGGGGATTCTTTGTAAAAATTTAGCAACCAGAATTGAGAGCTATTGAATATCGCGGCACCGCAAACGCTTCGCCAAATAAAAACGGCAAAAACTATTCACAATACTATCGTTTTTTTATTGTTCCAATTTTCAGAAAAGAGATTCAAAAAGTTTCAAGCTGAGTAATAAAACCAAAGTCATAAATACTGAGATCCTCGATCCTCGAGACTGTTAAAATAACTCTGATCTAACAAAATTTAATTTGAAGAACCTAATACTCTTAGTTGATTTTCCAATTCATACAAAACAGCCTATCGCATTCAGTTATTTCCCAAAAAGGTATCGAAATCTGTTGGTATCTCAGTTTTATGGTTTTTTACGCAGCAGGTAAACTGATTACAGACAGCGTGCTCAAATTTGACTGACAGTTTGACACATAATTTTATGAAGCTCTAATGACACCAAACGCAGCAGTTTCTCGACTACCAAGTGAATGTTTTATCACTACATGCCACCGAATATTGACCACAGAAAAATGTTGTTCTTGAAAAAAATTTCTGCTTGATTTATAATTATTTGTTATGCGAATCGAAGTCCAAAAGTACCACTTCAATTTTCAATTATAATTTTCTTTTCGATGTTCAATTTTCACTCCAATTTTGATCCGAATGTTAAAAATTTGCTTTCGAAAATGGACCAATTTTGTTATTAGCTTCTACAGAGCGAATGGTATTTGATCAACTGTTGGTTCTTTATTAGGCCAGACAGTTTGTTTGGTTTTAATTTAAAAGAGTTGTCACTAAATTGGGCTTTTGAGAAACTTCTGATCCAATATAAGCAGGTAGAAGCAAATGACCGGATAGCGGTTCGTCCCCGGCTAATCCCCCACCCAACTACGCGCTGACGGTCGCCCTTCAAGTGCCGAAACTCTCTTTAGTCAATCAACAGCAACACAGCGTCCTACTGTACTGAACACCCATTAGTTCAAAAGTAATGCAGCTAGCATACCTTTTCGAAATGCCAAGATTTATTCGTAACCACCCGCTTTGATCTTGTTTTGATCTTATTCCTGCAATCAAAACAAGCTGTTTATTTTTCTGGGCATTAGTGACCTAACGTTTGAAATGAAAGAAATTAGTTAATGACTGACTTTACCATTGTGTAAGCAAAGTTCAAGTTCAAACATTATTTGCTGGTTGTTTACGATCTACAATCAAATAGAAAGAGTTGTCTCGAGAGATGCCAGGTGGAAAAAAAGGAGTAAGTTTTTGATGCTTTTCTTTATATTTAAGAGTTTGAATACAAGTCGATGAAACAGTAGTTGTAGGAAAGGTGTAATTTGCGAAAAAAGTCGCCAATGAGGCCAGTCATGAAATTACGACATACCAAATACCTTGGGCGAGACAAGTGTTCTCGTTAAATTATCCCTCTTACAAGGCGTCGAGTTTTTTTGTACAAGGCACAAAATTTGCATATGCTTTATCCTCGTATATGTCTTTAAGAATGGTCCAGAATTATTTTCAAGTTTAATTTTGCACAATTTGTTTTGATATATTTTACCATAACCATACAATTCCATATCACAAGTGTTGCAAAGCTTCGCTTCGCCCCTGTGTACAATGGTCATGTCATCATCTTTTGAAGTTTATGAAAAGTTTTGATAACGTTCAAAATAGATTGCACGATACCTTCAAAGGTGTCACACTCTAGACAACTCTCAAGGTCATTTTAAAATATGGGCAGCTATTTTTTGTCATATATTATAACTTATCTATTGGAACATTATTACGAGTAATTCTTACAACAAATTCTGCAACAAATCATTCCGCAAAAACAAGTATCGAAAATGTTTTTTTTTGCAATTTTGTAATGAAATGAAACAAAAATTTTAGATTTTAATTACAGATTTTGCCGAAATAGCATCCAACCTGAAATATACTTGCAGAAAAATGGCTAAGTCCCGCAGAACAAAATTAAGTATACATGCATATATCAGTTTTGGTCCATAACTTGCCTTGTGCTCAACATAACTGACTCAATTTTTGTAGGTACGTATATATTATCACTGGATACCAGTCAGTGCACAATAACCTTGCTTGCTGAAGTTCCCGAGTTTTCACATATAATAGTGCATTCAAGCAAAAATATTTTTCATTGCGCATTTAGAAGAGTAAAAAAGTTAAAAAGGCGTCTCATATATCATACTGACTGCACTGTAATGCCAATTAAAAAAATTTTTTCTTGAAAAATTGAGTAAAAAAATTTGTTTCGTTTTATCGCCCAATACGCTATGGAAAATAGAGAGACATGTACTAATTGTCTCGTATTCCTATGATAAGGCATAATTTTTTTCCCCATATCAATTTTGAACGTTTTTTTGCCGCTTACGCGTGACATAAGAATGCAATATATTAAGCATAAATTATCCCAAATTAAAAAATTCAGTGATTCTTAAAACCTAATAATTTCAGGACGAAAAATGAGTGATTGATTTTTGTGTTTCTTAATATTCTGATTAGTTTTGTGAAGGTCTTATGTCTGACGAGTTTTTCTTATCTCGGAAAACACTACTAGTACTTATTTGAAGAGATCATTTTTTTTAATTTAGTTAAAATATTTTTTCAGCCTAAAAAAAATTCACATACACCTAAATTTTCGATGCTGAAAATAGTGAACTGTTCAATAAAACTATCGCTTTATTGCCCAAAAATAATTATAAAGAAGCTTACCTTTCCAATCACACATGAAGAGAGTTTGGATAAACAAATTCAACCGGGCTGAAATTTTAAATGCGCTCCACTCTGTTTTTGTTTGAACATGTTCGGATCATCGAAGTAAGAATGGAAAACTTTTGATATACTATTGAGCTCGACAAAACTAGAAATGTTTTAATCTCGGCAATTTTCATTGCTAGCAAATGCTAATTTGACTTGAAATTTTGTTTATCAAGGGTCAAGATTCAAAATAGGTTTATCAAAATTATTAGATTTTTTAATAGACTGCAAAAAACTGTATGTATCAGTTTGAATTTATGATCAGTTTGGATTGGTTTTGCCGCTTTTTAACCTGGTTCAACTGTTTTTCAATACAAAAAAAATCAATTTTTAAACTGACTTTTTTCAATATTTTTAGAGAATCTAATTCACGGCTATTTCATTTAAATGTATACTAATTTTTATCTACTTAAGTTTTCAATTTGAAATAAAGATGACTTTTTTTACAAAGTTTTTGCAGGTTTATTGAAAATTTTACAAAATAGCATGTTTACAAGTTCAAATAAGATCCTGGTTAAGAAAGAATGTGGAAGATTTTACAAGACATACTGTCTTTGAGAGTTGGAATAAAGATATTTGAACCCAAGATAAATGCAAAATTTAGATGCAAAATCAGGAAAAATCGGTTTAAAAATTGTAGCTAAAATTTTTCAAGGATCAATTATTTTAAATTAATTTTAACTAAAATATAAAAGCTGACAAAGACATAACTAAAATCTTCCACAAAGCTAGATTAAAAGCATTATAAACAAAAATAGATAACCAGCCATCTTGTAAATTCACTTGCATTTCAAACTGCTATCTTCTGAGTGTGTTGGTTTATTGTACAACTAATTATTTTTTATAAAGCATTAATTCTGTCAGAAAAAAAATAATGTATCAGTTTTAATAAACTTGTTTATTACTTTAGTCTCAATTTTTGATCAGTCTTATTTAAAGAATCTTAGTTTTGCTATTACCCATAATCAGAAGATTAAAAAACATAGATAGTTTTTTGCTAGGGCGATGATTTTAATGCAGGTTAAATTTAACAAGTTTGGGTCAGCTTGGCTTTAGATTAAGTAGATTTTCGAAATTGCTGTAATTTTGAAAATGTTTTAAAATATGTGTTGACTCTAGTATTGCAACTGTATACTTTTAACCGAAAAAAACTTTCAATGGATTTTTTAAAATAAATCATATTGGTCAACTACTGTCTACTCGTACTGACATATAGTGAACCCTGAGAAACCCTTCTCTGCTGACGTAAGTGCTTGCGGATATTTAGAAATGAAATTTTCTTTTTCTCCTAGTTACTTTTTATCGTTT